CTCCTTCCAAACATGAAAAAGAACCTGTGGAAACCTTTAGTTGTTATTGGATTATTCTACATTCAATTTCTGCCAATAGTTCCCTTTCACCTAAATCTTACACACTGAACCTTTAAGTCACAGTTTTGTAAATAATACGAGATGTTTGGTTGATAGATCAATAGGTATTTTCACCCGGATCACAAGAAATATTTTCCCACTTATTTCCTGTGAACAAATTGAGTGTAAGAGCCTGTTTTCTGATATTCACCTCTGTCAATACCTGAATGTGAAGGGTAGCGAATGGAATTTAGCTCTTATTGCATGAAGTACTGAAAAACGAGCTGTGATGTGTCATTCACGAAACAAATGTAGCTGCTTCTTTGGATGATCCTGAGATCATAAAGTGTCTGACTGGTAACAAATTTTGGTTGTAGATATGAAGACGTTTCAGTGAAATCTTGTCCAAAGTAAAGTCTGTGGATGATCCAGAGAACGTTTGATCAAATTGGGCGAAGATGTTTTTTGATCTTCCTCAACTTTGATTTATGGCGTGAGAGACGTGGACATATAAGAAGAAACCCATAACAAGGTTTATGAGCAGAACATGTGCAACCACAAAGTTTGGCCTGGGCTCCTCTCGTTTTTTAAGCAATGTTAAATATGGACTAACAAAGAAGCGCATACAGTCTCAAATGGATGCCCTGGGTGGATGGTGGAGACACATGTACGACACACAGACGCACGCAGATGCACAGCGAGGTGAAGGTGGAGTTTCAGCCTCTGGGGTGTGGGGTGGGGGTAAGGGGGTCGGCTGAGTAGCTGGGTGGCTTCATGGCTTCAGGGCTGATCGTGGGTGAGCAACTGAGTGAGAGAGGGAGAGAGCAGGCCACCCAAGTGGTAGTCAGAAAAACCTGTGTGTGTTTGCTGCTGACCCCTACACATTAGCACAACACTTCCTCAATTTGTCTTCTGTGTTCTCCGGCCACAAATGAATTTCCTCCACCACCACTACCAACGCCTCCACCCCCAGACTCACACACACACACACACACACACACACATTGACACCACCCCATCACTAACTTAAACGTCTGAATACACACACACGCAGCCTTTTTTTTTTTTACAAGCCTCTGAGATTCTGCAGTGTCTCAGTCAACAAAGAGTGGAGACACAGATCTGCATGTATGGGATAACAACCTCAGTGACATGCCTCACACACACAGACACACACACTGCGAGATATCCCTGTCCATCATTGTGGAGGCCCCCGAGCTAATTATCTAAACATTGACTGGGTGGTTGATTGGGATCTGGTCTTAAATTGCTTTTGCAATAAAATGACAGGAAGAAGCAAGCATGACCTGCGTTTACACCCTCAGGTGACCTTTTCTTTCTAATCGAATTCATTACAGTGTTTACAACAACCAGAGCTGTCACTACAAACAGGTCGGCCATTCCAAAAGTAGGGTTTTTTTGCACTTTAAATTCAATTTCACACCAAGGCTAATTGTAATTAACTTAGCAGGAGGAAATGTTCAAAAATTTAATCAGAATTGGAAATTAAAATGTAAAAATGACTGAGGTAAGTTCCCATATGATTAAAAGAAGCATGTTTTCTTATTCTCCTCCTGCGGGTCTCAAAAGTGACACCAAATATAAAGTGTTGGTATCAAACAACAGCTGCGTGTCGTCTCCAGGTCTTTCATCTGATAAGCTTGTTCATCATTTGTAACATATCACAATAGTGTGGGGCTATACACCGTTTCAGCTTGATTTGCGTACTTATATATGCATATGCACGCAAACCTCTTTCAAGCTACAGGTCTGAGTTTGCATTACCACCTGCGAGCTGCGTCTGACAATACCTCTGTTACAACCACACAAACAAAGACTTAAAGAAAAGTGTGTTTCTGTGTCTCTCTGTGTGTTTTTCCCCCCAGAAAGGCAACCATTCATTACGGTGACAAAGGGGTAAAGAAATGCATTATCATAATTAATCTTGTGTGAGACTGTGGGTGGCAGCTCTGACTCTCCTCAGAGACTGACAGAGGTGCTCAGTGCAGAAAGCATCTCTCTGCTACCAGGCAACTTGTAGCTTCTTTTTTTTGCACTGATATCTTTGATAACTTGTATAATTACAAACTTGTAAAGCTGTAAATGTTTTGCGTGTGTTTCCCCCCCAACAGCGTGAGACAGATTTGTGAACTTTCAAGCAAACACCCAACATGAAAATGTTTGATAACTGAAAAAGTACCATGGCTTTTTTTTGTATGAACGCTAGTGTTCATTTAACAGCTTTATATTTCTAGTCAGTCAGTCCATGGCCAAAAATCCAGTTCTGTTATCATGAGAATGATTTGTGCATTTGGAGAAGAGTTGATCTGAAGAAGTGTTTGTGATTTGTTTGTATGTCTGGGCCAGTTTTTAAGAGCCAGATTTGATGCTCTGTTGTTGATGGAGCAAGATGGAGAATCGGAAATTTCCCTCAACTTTATAATTTGATTAGGATCTTAATCTTTATTCCAGACTCACATCAAAATTTTTTCAGGATCATTCGAATCTTTTAACAAAATGTGGCAACCGTTTCTTCGGGTAGGCTTATTCTATTAGGTTGTTGTGTTTTTCTGTCATTTTGTTATGTAATTAGAAAAACTCTTCTGATGCCCCTCATACACTGCACTTGCATCAGTAAAGTGTTGAGACTATATTTTTCTTTTTTTCATCCAGCACGTTGAGTGTTCCCCAGGTGCACTACACAGTTGAATAGCACATTATGTTGTTGGTTGAAAAACTAGTTTTACCTCACTTTTACCATGTGTGTCCTAAAATATCATGATCATCACGGTTGCTCTAGTTAAAAAAGGATTTTAAACGTGTTCTTCTTCTCACTCATCCATATTTATTTATTCCTTATGGGGGAGGGAAGAAGAAGAAGAAATGCAGTTCTGAGCAGTCCTACAATCTCTCTCTTTGATAAATAAACAGTTTCTGTGTCTGAAACCGGGCGTCTCGGCTGCTGTGAGACGGCTGAGTGCCAGAGCGGTTCCCCGGCTCTGCCTATAGCACATACAGAACCCTGGACAGACAGTCAGCCATGCATGGATGAACGGTCGGATGGATGGAGTCACTGGGGAGAGATGAAATGGAGGAATGGAGATAGGGGGCAGGGAAAAGCTAAGAGGAAGAGCAATGGTTTAGGAGCAGCTGAAACAGGCAGGGAAGATGAAGGTGTTAAGGAGAAAATCAGAAATAAAAATAAGTGCAGAGGAGGTGTTGAGAAAAGTGTAGAGAAGAGGAAACAAGAGAGACGACAGAGAGAGAGAGAGAAGGGGATGGACGGATGGAGGGAGAAGGACCATATGGGACACAGGACGTGGAGAGGGGGAAGGAGGGAGGAGAGGGCTCGGGCAATTTGTGTTTGAAAGCCAGGGCGGTGTGATGGCAGATATCTACACAGCGCATGGTCATCTCAGACGGTTTATTTATCCAAGGCCTCCAGACCAGGCCTCGGACCTCCCTGAGTTTGTTAGGCTTGAGGGGGCCCCCTACCACACAACCCAATTCCTCACATTCCACATTAGCTCCCACTTCCAGCTGCCCGTTTCCCTCCAACGCTCAGCCCGACCCAACCCAGTCCAGGCAAAACCATACCCGGCTCTGGCCCAAGCAGCCAGCTCCTAACCCAAACCCTGGAGACATGAGCGTATGGTTGCCTTCATTCGGACAGATGGATGTGTATATGTAGGTGTATCACTGAATGTCTGCAGGGAGCAGCGGGCAGGTGGTCTGGTTAACAACAGTATCCTGGGATCAGATTTATCAAGTTCTGAGGCTTAAGGCCTCAAAACTGAACAAAACTCCCTATATCTGTGAATTTTGAAACGCAAAGTATCTCAGCTGATGAATAACTGTTTGTTGACCATTCAGAAAGATGAAAAATCATTTTTATAGTTTAAAAATATCACTTTCAATGACAAATCATACTTAAATCATATGTAATGCACGCACATACAAAACCAAGTCTTCACCCCCATTCTGTCATGAGTGGGGCCAATGGAGGACTTACATTAGCAAACCACCGAGACACTACTCACCGATTAGAAAACAATCTGCTCTGAGAACCTTCTTTCTTTCTGTCTGTCTTTCTTTTTCTACTTCTTGGGTGAACTGCTCTCTGAACTCATGAAATCATGCATGGCAGGACGTGGAAGCTTTCCAAAAAGAAAGAGATAAGGGTGTCAGACACTGAACTCTTTCAGGTGTTGATGAAAAACACACATGCATGAGCGGAATAATTCTTATGATCTTTATAAATGATTTAATTTTAGAGACAAGAGGTTTTATTGCCAATGTTTGAGGGAAACCCATCAACCTACTTTTAGAAGCTTTTGGCCCTGAGAGGTGAGGTTGCAGCTGTTAAAAACCAATGAACACACACACACACACTTCCCTGCACCCAGTGACAAACTGCACTCACTGACATGGGGAAAACATTATTTGGGGTATTCTGAAACAATTGCTAGTCTCTTAAACCTCATCAAACACTGGAGCGATATATGAAACATGTTGACAGATGTGTAAATCTCGCATACAGAGAAGGTGAATGGTGTTTACATTCTTCACTAAAAGTTGAATCCACTTTTTTTCCTCCTTTCACTGATTGGGCTGCTGATGAGTTGTGTGCGCGCCTGTCGCTGTGATATCATGTGCGGTTATTTGCTGCAGCTCCGGAGGACCCACGGTGGAGAGAGAGCGCGCTGTGTGCGTCAGTGCAGAGTTTATTGAAAGAGTTCCTCCCTCCCTCCTCCACCCAGCCTCCTCCCTCCCTCCCTGCAGCCTGGGTGGTCCCCCTCTCTCTCCACTTTGGTGAGCTGTTGCTTAGCAGCTAATAATAGGCGATGTTTGCAAAGTAATTTGCCTCTTCCTTGGCCAATGGGAGCCGGAGCACTTTTCCATCAAACCTCCCTTTTCAGGATTTGCCGAGAGGCGAACTTCTCCAAATGTTACCGCTACAGGATCGGAGTTAGACTTGACACGGACGGCTCAGACACAGGCTACTACTACTACTACTACTACTACTACTACTACTACTACTTATGCTCGCTGAGACGTCGTTTCACACACTGTCGGGACGAATGAAGACTGAAGGATATATACGGATTTCGGCGCATAATGTTGGGATGGAGTTTCGCGACTTGTTTGGCTCCAGGGAAGACTAGAAGCAGTTCTCCCGACTTGTCGCCGGCGCTGCTGGATGCGCTCCTCTTCTATGTTGGATTACCGTCGCCTTTGCTGAACTCGCACCGACTCTCCGCCGCTTCGCTCCGCACCCCGCTCGCCCTCAGACTCGGACCATGGCCTCGGATCACGGGGTCCCGGGGGCCGGCGTCTTTGGAGATTTACCCCCGAGTTATGCGCGCTCTCAGCCACCCGCGAACCCAGACCTTCTCCGGAGACCCAGCTACTGCCACGCTGCTTTCGCACTTAAACAGATCTCTAAGGTGATGATAGAGAAATGCCTGGCTTCATGAGGAAAAACCCTCCAAACGCGCAGCTTCTGGTTTTAGTCGTTATCTAATCGCGGGCGCATGTAGGCTGAAGGAGCAGCTCCTCAAACTGGGGTCTGGGGACCACCAGAGGTCCTGGAGGGGTGAGGACAGCCAGATCAGGAGCAGTCAAGAGTTTATTATTTTGATTTTGAGGGAAAGGGTGAAGAAATTGTTGCTAGAGGTTAATGCAGACTCGAGAAATCCTACAGCACCAGGTTTGAGGTGTTTGACAGTTTGGGAACCTCCTGGAATGAAGTTATATCACCTTAACAAGAATCTCCACAATTAACACTTTGCAGTTCATTATAAAGGACTTTACTTATTGTTACAGACTTTGCAAAGGCAGCAAGTGAGAGAGTTTTTTTTTTGTTCCCACATCCCCACAGTCAGCCGTGTTGTGCGTGTTTTTGGCTTTGTGCAGCAGCCAGGCAGCGCAGAGCAGAGCGCACTGGCCCGGGGTCTGTTTGGAAATGTGGTGGGTCCTGTAAAGGAATTCACTGATTGAGTTTGATCTGACAAAGCATCTTTGGACCGCCCGGATGCTTGGACGTGTTTCAGCACTGCTGAGAGAAACCACAACACCAGAGCAATGTCTCCTGCAGCAGTGACACTTGTAGCACAGGGACTGAGTTAAAGTACAGTTTGTAACTATTCTTTTGAAAGTTATAGGGAAAACCTCTATAACTTAGATTACCACAGGGACACAGATGCAATCTAAAACCCTTATTCCATTAGGCTATTATCTATGTGTTAGTTTAAACCCCTGCAAAAGTGAATGAACAAGGATTTAAGGATTAAACAACTAATGTTTTCTTCCCACTACAGTTTAATTGTAGTAATGTATTTGTGCTACAAACTCTCTAAAGACCAAATTGTTGAAGTTCGTAGTTTAAAGAGACATCTTTTACATAACCAGAAAGTTTCCAACTTGCAGACGGGTACATTATGTGATATCATAGCATGTTCATTTTTGCCTGAGCTGAAGCAATAGGAATACGTTTCCCAAATAGAATCAACACCTGCACAAACTGCCATTTTAATTGTTGAACGTTGTCATGGGAGAAAATATCCTGGGTCCTGACTTAGTTCAGGTGTTGTGATATGAGGTTTTAGATTTAGTCTGAGTGCACATACAGGACAGGAGAGCGTTGGCAGTCAAATCTGTGATTAGCTGGTTGGCACCTTCAGTTGTCACTATTTAAATTTCACCCCAAAAAAATCTTCTCTCTGAAGATGCCATGTTCCACCCAGTGTTTAGGATGTAAATTGTCACTGTAGACCCCACTGTTATAGATACAAGCTATAGAACCCTGCCTTTGTCGACAGCTGTGTGATATGGTACATTATTAATGTCTGGTAACATGATAATAATACTGTCCTTTTATCGCCCTCCCTCCTTCTTTACATCCAGGGTAAGGCGGTAGGTCAGAAAGCTCCTCTGTGGATCCGGGCGAGGTTCCAGGCCCTCCTGTTCTCTCTGGGCTGCCACATCCAGAGGCACTGTGGGAAGGTCCTCTTTATTGGACTCTTAGTATTTGGGGCACTGTCTGTGGGGCTCCGAGTTGCAGCCATCGAGACGGACATCGAGCAGCTATGGGTGGAAGGTAAGTTTTAAGTGATTTCTCATTTCATGCAGGCATGTTTTGCTCCTCCTGTGGCAACAAACGCTTAATGAGCATTGTCAGTTTTGCACTGGGGTCTGGTGTTGTGACTGTTGAAGTGCATCCCTCAACATCATCCTGTGAGATCAGTTTTTGCTCGTTGCTGGATATACTGGATTTGACTCTCAGCTCATAGTAATCTGCAGTTTTTGATGAAAGTGTAATTTATGTACTGCTTATCGTTTGAATGTCAATGGCGGCCGGTGAGAAAATACAGCATGGCAATATTAGTGTCTCGGTGGTCAGTGACTATTGGTGTGTCTGGCTGAAATCCTGAGTGAAGCAGCTACAAGGTCCAGTTGCCTTCATGTAGAAATACTGTGACATGGACGACCGTCAGTCTTCTCATACATGGTTGATTGAAGTCATTTGTTAGTGTATCGCTGGTTGGAAATGACAATAACAAGCGTTACTTTTTGTAAATTTCTCACACACTACAACTCTTATTAACTTCCATGTCAGTAAACATTTGTGTCTTTTGTGTGTTGCCAAAGCTGTTTCCTCATGTCTGTTCATTTCTCAATAAGTCACAGTTAACCTGAGAAACCCAGACACGTCTCTGACACAGCTGCATTCCAGTGTCACACACAGACACACAATATCTTGTGCTTCCTCTGTAAAGATGGCTGTGTTGCGTGTGTGCGTGATTGTGCGCTCTTCTCCTCTGCTTCCATCATTTACCCTCTTTCTCTGTACGGCACGTTGCATTTTAGGTTTAAATTCATCTGTGCATTTTCCAGCGGCAGAAGCAGCTTTATTTGGTTTTTCACACAGGCCAAATTCCTTTTAAACCCCCAGGCTTTCAGTGCCGGGGCTGATCCCCGCAGCAGATGGACTGTGTGAATGGTTAGCCATCTTTGAGGGCCCTGACCCCTCCCCCCGTTCAGCTCCCTGTGTGGTCCCTAACTATTCTTGGATTCCATTCAACAAGAGGCAAGCAAGCAGGCACCACCTCCCTCAACCCCCTCCCTCCCTCCCTCCCTCCCCTACCTCCTCCTCCTCCTCCCCACAAGAAGAAAAAATATAAGTGAATGCAGCTGAAGTTTACCCACCTGTTTTGCACGCTCTGAAAGCGCCACAGCAGTTGGTGAATATAAACAGACACTATAGGGTTTTTAAGCCCACCATGTCACTAGAGGACAGGGGACAGGCGGCTCCCACAGGAGCTGAGTGGAGGTGTGGGAGGAATCACATGCTTCTTGTGTCAGGGGAAACGTTTGGAGGCTGTGTGCTGCAATAAGCTCCTCTATATATCAGGCAAAAATTAAAAGTGCAATCTCTATAACTGATTAGATTGAGGTTTTAAGGGAAGATCCAGCAACATTAAGGAACAAGAGTTTCAAATTGTGCACAGACTCCCCTTTTTCTTTAGCTTTCATTCTGGTTAGTGTAAAAGGTTTCGGGATTACCTCTTGAGCTAATTGGTGTGGCCGTCTCTTAAAGGAGATGTTTAGGTGTTTGCGTGCCAGTTGTTTTGCTGCGGGATTGAGGGAGTTGAACAGGGGGGCCTGAAAAGGAATGCTGTGCCTTTAAGAGGCTGTGGCCATGTTTCTAAAGTTTCTGCCTGCCTTGTTTCCACCAATAGCCCATTGACAAAGCTGCTAGGGCCTCAATGGAGAGTAAAGTGGTTCAGTAACAAGGAGAGGTTAGTTCTCCCTCTGTCTCTCTCTCACACACACAAACAAGGAAACACACACACATATACACACATGCACCGTTGCACATAAGTGAGAACACAAGAGGGAGGAATGATATGCTCGCTAATAAGACAACTGATTTTGGATGAGGAGAATCTGAATGTTTTTCTAAAGTTGTGGAGTTTTATTGGATTATTTTAGCGCATATATCTTAACCTAAAAGAAATGTAAAGTAAACATGTTTCGATAGTATCTGAAAATTAAGTAAAAGAAAACGGCTATTCGTAACTGCTGTATAAACAAAGCTTTTCCTCTTGTGTCCTAATTTGTTCATAATAAACTAGCTGTGAATTGACACCTTAAGTGTTAACACTCTGTCAGCATGGTGAAAGCTGTAGGTGTGTCTGTGTGAGTGTGTGTGTGTTAGGGGCATATGCTTCCAATCATATATTCATACTCGACACTGCCATTGCAGTATTCACACATACACAAACACATACTCTTGTCATCTTTGCCACCTTCGTTGTGTGTACAGCGTGCCTGGCTGTATGTCTGCCTGCATGCCCGTGTGTGTGTCTGCCTGTGCTCTGTGTGTGTGTGTTTTTATATTTCTACCTGTCTGTCTGCCTGCTCTGTGAAGTCAGGCCACCAGGGCTTTTTTAATTGCTTCCTCCCTCCTGCAGGACCAAAACACTGTGAAGCCTAGCACAGCAGTGCAGTCTGTGTCTAGAAAGAGACAGAGAGAGAGAGAGAGAATGGGAGGCAATGTGAGGGAAAGTTTGTGTTTTTTGTGAAATGCCTACCTGCACTCCCAAGCATACTTATCTTTTACAGTACTTATACTTTCCCCGGCCGTTTATTCATTTTCTTTTTGTTTTTCTTGATGGATACTTGTCTGGAAATTTTCAAAGGTAGACATGCAGCTTGTAAAGTAAAAGGGTTAATCGTGCCTTCAGTGCTCACACCTGCACAGGTGAGAATAAAAGCCACAGTATCAGGGTGTTTAGTCTGTCAGGAGGATTAAGGACCATTTTTTGGCTTAAACTCCTCAATCACTAAGACAGACATCATCCATCAAAACGCCTTAAATGACTCACAGATTTATTTTTTTCAAGATCCTTTAAAATGTATTATTATAGAGGATCATTTAAAAAAGTGAAGCAAATATTTGCAGCTAATAAAGAGAAGGTGATACTACATTTATAATCCACTACACCTACCCTTTCGTGAGTGTCTGAATTATATCACATTTTGTAATTCCTACATTTCCTTTGATTCGATATAAATGACATTTGCTTATCCCACCTTCGAGAGTGTGATCATTGGTGTGAGCTGGACAACGTGTGAACCGGTCCTGCATTGTCCACAAGAGAGAGATCATAAAAAAAGAAGTGCAGGAAGAAGGGAAGGATATGAGGAGGCATTGGAGGGGGGGTTGGAAGCAGCAACAGGGTGGAAGGTTTATGGCTAGCTGACACTTTTTTCTTCTTTGCTTGTGTTTTTTCGCCTGTCTCACTTGAACAAACTCCAAATGTGCAAACGTCTAGTGTGTGTCTCTCTTTAAACATAACTGCCTGTGGGAGGGCGCAGTTTTGCGAGGGAGAAGCCTGAAATCGTGACTAAAATCAGTGAAATTATATAATTCTTTTTGCATTAATTGCCCTAAGTCGCATATTAAATGGTAAAACGTTTTTCTGCAGCGTTTTTCTCCCCCACACACAAAGACCCACTTGAAAAGCTTGTTTGAGAAAGAGAGGAAAGAAATGGCCTCCATGTAAGAGTGGCTGTGTTTACTCTTACGTTAACTAAACTCATCCTTCTTTGCAGAGTTTGGGTGAGGCATGACAGACATGTACACAGACTCAAGCTGTCCAAATATGAGTGCAGCTAGACAGGTCCTATCCAGATAGCAGGCGTACCACATGTCCCATAAAGAGGCTGTGTAAAGAGAGGTTAGGAAAAGGGGGGAGGTATAGATCTACACATGCATGGTCCACATAGCATGGATGCATGGAGACTGCTGTGTTATCTTTGCCAGCTAGCAATGAAACCAAGCCAGATAGTTTGCAGATATGAGCAGATGCGGACACAGATTGATTTGAAGACACTGAAAGAGTCTGGGAGAGAGAAAATACACACACACCCCTTTGAGTTTGCGCAAATGAGCAAATGCACACGTGGGCATTTTTCGATGTTTGGAGCAGCTTTACTCTAAACAACCCTCAGAGCGGCACAGCAGGTAAATGCTATAATTCATCGGAGCGCACACAGCGCCCCAGTTCAGACACAGAAAGGGAGCTCTATGAGGCATTATTGGAGGTGAATAGTGCGCGGCGGTGCCCCAGCTAGATAAATAAACTCCCAGCGCTCAGGGCCCAGGACCTCACTGGTAGAGAGAACAAACAAGACCAGAGTCAACCTGGGTCACTTCTAAATGTTTATTTCACTCCCCCCTCCTCCTCCTCCTCTCCCCCTTTACCTCCATCCTTCAGTCCAAGTCTCCCTCATTCCATCTCCTTTCTCAACACACACACTCTTCAACACACAGACCGAGACCACCCCCCAATAAATAAACACACATTGAGCAGCTATAGATACATGTGCATATGACGGACACATGGTGTTTGCTTCCAAGAGACAGGAAGCTTGCAGTCGTTTTTTACAGTTATAAAATTAAAATATTTCAACACATGTTCACCTGACAGAGATAACCCATGTTTATACCGTTATTTTGGTCTTTTTTATATAAAAAAGGGCTGTCAGAGTCTTTGCAACATTGAATCCAATATCCTGAAAGGCGGAGAAGCAGGGATAATGATAACTCAATCTATATAGCGTGGCACCCTTTCTCTCCACACTGAAGAGCAACCTTTGTCTTTGCTCTAAGTGAAATAAAGCAACACCAGTCACCTTAGAGTTTGCACCATTTGCTTCTGTCTTCACACCATGAAAGTACCAAAAAATAGTAAAGGGGGGAGAGGGAGAGAAAAACCGAACATTTTCTTGGTCCTTGGGAGGGAAAAAAGAAATGGTTCTGGGGCTCAATAAATTCATTTCTCGTGTGAATGAGACCAGCAACGTGGAAAAATTTTGCCTTTCAGGCGGGGATGAATGTATGTTTCAACCACACATTAAGCAGTATTAGCGGTCAGTGGAGTGTCTAATGTGACTATTTTTCACAGTGGCCAACACTGCCCATGATTAGCATAATTAGCAGAGGCAAGCCTATACATATGGAAATAGAAAGTGCCTAAATGCCAACCCCGTTGGAAATTTATGTGTGGTGGCTAACACCACTGGCACATCTGAATAGAATGTAAGTGAAACTGATTTTTCATGATCTCAGGCCTCGTGTTTGGAACTACTGGTTTTAAACCGATTTATCATTTTTGTTTTCTTGTGTTCACAAGCTTATTCGTCTTTGCAGACTGATTAACAGATACATTGAATGTAGACACACACACACCCACATTCACACATATGCAAACATTGTATTTCTATAGGTAAGATAGCAACGTGCCAGGTTCTCTTTCTTGCCCCCAGCCTCACCCTCCCACAGCCAACTTCGGCATTGTTTTACTGGCTGGGAAAGTTTTGGTCCATTTGCTTTTGTTGCGAAAAAAGACGAAAAAGCCGTTCCCTCTTTATTATATTCTGCTGTTAGTTGGGAAACATCTGAAAGAAATTGAAGGGGTGAATGACAAAAGGGTCTGCATTCAGTCTGAAGCTGCTGTACGGAGGGATTGTATGGAGGGGAACGGCCCATCTGCTGGGGGGTGCCCTGGCTGGGGAATGCCCTGGCTAGGGAATGCCACACAGGGCAGGGCCAGGCTGAGGACCCAAAGTGGGGCACAGTCATGATTCTGGTGGGTCCACGTGTGACAAAAGGAGCAGGAGGTTTTAATGTGATGCTGGGTGCCAGGCTAAGAGAATGAAATTCTCAAGGGCCTCAATTTAAAAACAATGTGAAAAAAAGAATGATGTATGGGCCATGGCAGCGAAGGCGTAGCGTTGTAGTTTGTCTTTTTTTTACGTACATTGTTGCTACTTCATGGTGGTCAGAACTTTTTTTCCTCTTAAATCTATCTTTTATCAAGGGGGGTTCCGTGTGGAAATTGGCTGTACACTTCTTGTGTTGTCATGCTTTGCTAATCAGGAGCAGGTCATTTCCTATGCACGATGTACCAGGTAACAGCATACATGTTACTTATAGCCCTCTTCGTCTTGGGTCTTCCTCCATAGCAGCGTGGGGCCTTTCAGAGGGCCCCTAATCCAGCTAATCTACCACACTGAACTTTGAAGGTGGCTTGGTCTGACCTAGCATGGCCTGGAACTGGGACCAGGCCTGTAAGCCACAAAGACAGAATAGAAGAGAATAGAAACATTCTGCTTTAAAGGTGGCCTCGGCTTCGTCCTGGAAGCCAGATGTGAGAAGCCACACATATTTCACTGAGTTAGGGGATTCTGGGTGTTTGGTATTCGGGTATGGGTCAGGTGGTGACTGTGGTCAAGTTTCTGAAAACCGTTTAACAATAGAACTGTAGATGTGATCATTTACTTGTTTATTTACTTATTGACTAATATTTCATGTTTCATAATTGCTTGTGAAATAGAATTACCAGTTGCTGGGGTGTTAAAACTCCACACTCAAAGGCACTTTCTGCACAGGGTGGGAACATTTCCGGGAACTGTCTCTTTAAGGCAATGCTGCAGAGCCCGGGCTGAGTGAGTATAGGGAGAGGGTAGGAGTGGGGGAGGTTGAAGAAGAGTGACAAAGAGAAATAAAGTGAGAAAGAAGTAGGAAAGGAGAGATAGAAAGACAAAAAAAGCAGATGAGAAAAGAAAAGGATAAGGTCCCCATCTGGAGCCAGAGCTAAGCTGACTGAGAGCTGAAGTGAGCAGAGTAGCTGCGGAGCTCAGAGTTGGGTGGTTGGGGCCAGACTGGGGGTTGAGGAGAGAAGGCGAGAAAGAGTGAGGGAGAAGAGAGAGGACAGGCTGCCTGGGTGGTCCAGATGGGAGGAACGAGACACAAATAGCTATAATTTACTTCAGGAGGCCTGTAATTACAGAGCCAGAGTCTCTCCGAGCCACCCAGTTCCTGTTGGGATCAAAACCCCACACTGCAGAGGTTAACATACGAAATGTCAAAAAAGGTTTAACAGATGTCAACGAGGTACACGGACGGAAAGAGTTCCATTTTGAAGTAGCCCTTTTTTGATTAGGAGTCTGTGTGGCGAGGAAACTGTAGCAGGAAATTATACGTCCATTCGCTGTTGCCTCATCACTTTGTACATGTCCCAGACAGTGTTAAATACTCATTTTGAAAAACTTCAGTTTCTCAACCACAAAAAAAGTTTTCAGGAAATTGCTTATCCTATATATTTTTGTTGTGACTCCCCTGAAAACAAAGCTTTATTACTACCTCTTGACTTAGGACCAGATGTGTATACCCAACAAGAACATGTCCCATTTTGAGGTGTTTTCTTTTGGGATGCACTGAGCCAGACAAAAAAGACGCCTATGACTGCAAATAAATGAGGTGACCTGATATTCTTCGGCTCCTGAGTAGGTAATTAAAGCCTTGAAAGTGAAGCCTAGAAGTATTGGGAGTGTGTCTCCGAGGCCCAGAGTTTCTAACCTGATCTCACACTTTTCACAGTGTGGGCTGAATAGTTTGTTTTTTCTTTTCTCCTCATCAATTATAGGAGCCTGCTGCAGGATGGGGGAGGTACAGAGAGCATGACGGAGAGAGGGAAATAAAGAGGGAGACAGAGAGAGAGAGGCAGAGGCAAGGGGCTATAGATGCTGTTAAGAGGAATAGAGAAATAGATGCTAAAAGGGGGTAAAGCCAGGATCGAGTGCAGCGCAGTGAAAGTGAGTAAAAGAGTGACAAGAGTTACAATTAAGAAGGAGGTAGCCCCTGTTTCCAATCTCCCCCACTTCCCCTATTTTCCTCCTTCTCTCTAGGGTTGTCATGTAGTGGGACAACGAGAGGGGCAGACGGGCCCTCTGTGATCCAGCGCGGCATGTTTCATGTCCACTTGGCACAGGCACAGATCCCCCGGCTGGCAAACTCTTTTCAGGGCAACCTCCTGTAATTAGGGGGCTGGAGTCTACCACACTGCACAATATAGTGCCCTCTCCCTCTCTCTCTCTCTCTCTCTCTCTGTTTTTTGTGTTATCTACTCACTTTCCTGTTCATCACCACTTCTGACATTCTTATATCTCCTCATGTCATTCACAACTTTTCCTCTCCTCTCCTCCCTTCCTCAAAGATGGACACCCAATATAAAAAAAGGAAGAGGCGTTCATCCTTTACTCATCCTTGAACATTTTTCACATCTTCATAAATGTCCGTATCTGGTGCCCTGGGTGCAGTGGTGGTGGGGGTTTTCGGGGGCATCGGCAGGCTGGTTTTCCTAACAGGGCACATCTGTTTTACAGAATGAGCCAATGAGAAGCTGTATTACTCATTTCTCTTGGCCAGATGCTGGCTTGTGTGAAGTGCCTACAAAACCAACACTGGCAAGGGCCAAGGGCGTTGGTCGATATATGTGTGTTCTTGTTTTAAGTGTGTGCACGCAAGACACTTTGTTACATGAACCCAATGCAGGTTTTTGTCCGTCTCTGCATGTGCATTTGAAGATATATGTGCTCATGTGTACAGTATTAATTTAGCTATCTTTGGTGTTAATGAATTCTTCGTTTTTCGTCTTCTAGCTGGCAGTCGGGTGAGTACAGAGCTTCGCTACACTAAGGAGAAGCAGGGAGAGGAGTCAGTGTTTACCTCACAGATGCTCATCCAGACCCCCAAAGAAGAGGGCACCAGTATTCTTACCCAGGAGGCCTTGCTGGTCCACATGGAGGCTGCTCTGTCTGCTAGCAAGGTCCAGGTGTCACTGTTTGGAAAGTAAGCAGACCTTGGATATGTCACAGAAAAAAATATTTTCTTGTGTTAACAATCTGTAATTAAAAATGTATTTCCTTTCTTCCAGATCATGGGATCTTAACAAAATATGCTATAAATCAGGAGTTCCTATTATTGAAAATGTCATGATTGAAAGGGTGAGTTGACAAAGTTACAAATAATTCGTTTTTTTATACATTTCTTTTTTCAGAGTTTTGATGTTTGATCGTGTTTTTCTTCCTATATCCTGATTCCAGATGATTGACAAGCTATTTCCCTGTATGATAATCACCCCATTGGACTGTTTTTGGGAAGGGGCCAAACTACAGGGAGGCTCCGCCTATTTACCGTAAGTCTTGGAATATTTCACACACTTTTTTTCCTTCTTTTTGCATATTAAAGATTTCGTCGGGACTCTTGGCTCTCCCTTTTCTGTCATTGCTTCCATCTGACCTGCGTTGCCGAGTGAAGCTGGTCCATAACTTTTAACACATGCTAGATGGAGACATACAGTTGGGCTTTCAGTAGTCTGTCAGTGGGTGTTGTGACTGACAGTGGCGGTCAGTAATAGAGGGACTGGATGGAGAGGGGGGGATGTCCTGACAGAGAAATTCAAAGAGGGGGAGATTGAGGGAGAGATGAAGCGAGGGGGAGATGGAGTGAGAGAGAGGGGAGATGACTGCAGCAGCAACTGGATGGTGGGTCGGTAGAACGGAGGGCGGAGAGGCGGTGGTGGTGGTGGTGGTAGCAGGGGAGCCCTTTGGGTCAGACAATGGTAAGCATTCTTTCGGTTTACGAGTGAGTGTCCGTCAGTGCAGGGGCCCCGTAAGAGGGAGGGGGGGCAGGCTTTGTCAGCTCATGGCTAACACTCGGCATTCTCATGGTAATGCCCCAGGCTCCCAGCTCCCAAGTTGTCCAACAAATAAAATGGGCAGCATTCAAGTCTCAAGTCCCCCGAGAAAGACAGAGAGAGGCTACAAGATAGTTAACAGCAGAGACGGGGCGTATTTGGGCATTTGTGGATTCAAGTTTTTTTTTTCTCTCCTTTTTTTGGTTTACGAAGTTCTCCTGAGAAATAGAGTCCCTTAAAGAGTTTTTTTTTTTTTAAAGCTGTGATATTTCAATTGAGTCCTCGGTTTATAGAAGATAGTTTAGATCATAGCAGATGTTTCTCTCCAAACAGAATATTTGTTTAGATTTCTGTCCGGAGTTGACAGCAGTGTGTTGCATGACAAGCCAGCCAGTTCAGAAACAAACAAGTTTCCCATTCTTTGCATCTCCCAGTTGGCCTTTGTGAGAGCATGGCGACCGAGAAGGGAGAAGGGTTTCTTTGATGATTCCCATGTCCTCCAAGTATTCCTGTAAATCACACTAAAGTGCTCCACATCTGTTGTTATTCCTTATTTGTTTGTTACTCTTTTTTTTTCACGTGGAGCTGAGGCAAACTTGTGGTCACTGAGGCCGGTGGCTTCCGCTTCCCGTTCAGCTCTGGTTTTAAAGACAAAAAGGAAAAAATAAAAAGGAGTGAGGATGGAGACAGGGAGATGGGAAAGAGTGCGAACAAAGAGCAGCAATCGATGAAAAAACAAAAGGGCCCAGGCCCGGTTCACTCAAGCAAAGGGTAGCTGATAAAGGAGTGTGTCTTTGCGAGCTGCAGCAGAAGGGACGCTGGTATGTGGGAATAGGAGAGGAGCTCTCTTCATGAACCATTAAGCCCAGAGTGGACATGTTTTTGACTCTCTTCTTCTTCAATCACTGCAGAAAAACAAACGCAGACTCAGGAAACCTCACTTTTTTCAAAGCTCTGTCTTTTAAAGAATATATTTATAACTGTGTTTTATGAACCTGTTGCTTGATTTGATACCTACTGCCCTGCTGTACCTCATGAGGTACAGGAGCATCTGTGTTGAAGTGTGCTCGGGCACATGTGTGAATAATCCAATGTGAGCTGAAGAGTGAAGCATTTTTCCTGGACGTTAAGACAAGAAACACATCATGTCCACCTTCATTTTCAGATTTGGGGTAATGTCTATAACTAGAATAGCAAATAGACTTTAAATGAAAAGACGGTCGTATGGAGGAAATTGATGGATGTATCCTATGAAGAGGGAGAGCAGGTGTAAAAGGTCCTTTGTCAGTGAACACCATTTCCTTCCTCTTGCATCCCTCACCTATTTCCCAGCTCAGCCTCTCCCCTTCCCTCCTTCCTTATCAAGATGTTTGCGAGGCAGAGGTAATCGTTATGACTCGGTGCAGGACATAGAGGAATGGAAGCGAGCAGGCAGCCACCCTGCCTTTTCCCTGGGCATTGTGGCGGCGTGAAACAGGATAATAAACGCTATTTTATCCTGTATCTGCAGCTAGCCTCTTGCACGGCCCAAGCAGAAAGAAGTAAAATCAACTGAATTCCCCCCCCCCCACCATGCGCAGATTAAACTTTATCAGGGATGCAAAGCCATTTGGCTTCGCAGGCTACGAGCGGTGGAAGTTCTTTTATAGTTTCATGATCTTCAGGTTATCAATTCCTAAGTGTGTCTCTGCTCTCCAGGGGTATGCCGGACATCCAGTGGATGAATCTTGATCCAGTCAAGCTGATGGAGGAGCTGAGTCAATTCACTTCACTGGAAGGATTTAAGGAGATGTTGGACAAAGCCCAGGTGGATCACAATGACAGATTTTCTGAATGAAAGATTCATGAGCAATTACTGCTAACTCATCTACGTGCATACCTCTTTCCACAAACTAAGACTTTTGTAATATTCTTTAATTCTGCAGGTGGGCCATGCCTACATGAACAGGTCTTGTCTGGACCCCTCAGACCCCGACTGCCCTCTTAGTGCCCCCAACAAAGACAAAGGAGAGGTAAGCCCACACAAACAACACAACTTCAGTCATTATAGATAAAAAGTAGCTGTGGCCCAACAGAAACACATAACATATCTCTTGTTTTTTTTTCTGTCTGTCCCCCTGCCCTCCTTCTATTCAGAGTCCTGACATTGCCAGGCGTCTCCAGGGTGGTTGCCACGGTTTCAGCCGGAAGTTCATGCACTGGCAGGAGGAGCTGATCCTCGGAGGGCTGGTCAAAAGCAGCCAGGACACTTTGCTGAGGTGTGTGTTTATTAAGGCATGTAAAGATCAGGGTGTGATGGTTCAGGTGGTTTTACACAGCAGCTATAAATGTGCTCGTCATTGGAAGATGTAATAGTAAGAGAGTGGGGGGTGTATGTATGTTGGTGTGATCAATACCAGCTGAGCAGGCAGCCAGTCCGCCCATCAGCTTGTGAGCTGCTGCAACTGGAATCTGTGTAACCCCTAATAACCCAACAGACACATGCTAGGAATGCCTCATACTCAGAGGGATCGGTTTCCTGCATTACCCCGGTCCAGGATAGGCCAATTAAAGATGATTGACAGCCACATAAAGCCCCCCCACCCTGCTACACATTTGTTGTGTAAGTGACCAAAGAAGAAGAGGAATTAGAAGTAGAAAAAGTCTCTCGTTAAGAGACCAATACAAATGGAGTGGCAATATTGGGTCAGAGCCCAGATCACGACCCAAACGGGCCCAACAAGTCTTTGGAGCCACATTTGCTCATGGATGTGATTTATGATCATTTCTTTCATGTTTTTTTTTTCCACTCGCCTTGCCAGTGCCAAGAAAACCTGAGGACATCTGGGCTCGCAGCCTGGAGATCGGTAGACAGACAGTCTAGATAACACCTGCTTTTGGCTGTTTACATTGGCAGACAGGCAGGCAGACAAATCCTAGAAGAAACGGCACCTGCCTTTTGCCATCCTCACAGGGGTGCACTCCAGCTAGAGCGAGGTTTAGGGAGACTATGAGCATTCAGTCAAACAGGATGGTTTAAATACGCTTATTGCGAGATGGATGATGCAATAGATGTTTCACAATTCTGATGTCTCTTGATGTGCCCTGATTTCAAGTTTTTTGGGTGTTTTGCAGTGCGGAGGCCCTCCAGACCATGTTCCTGTTGATGAGTCCGAAGCAGCTGTACGAGCACTTTAAAGATGATTACGAGATCCACGACATCAACTGGAACGAAGAGAAGGCCACCGCCATCCTCGAGTCCTGGCAGAGGAAGTTTGTGGAGGTGCGGACACACGCAGGCACATTTCATTTACATTCAAATGCACACAAAGTAATAGGAAGAGGATGAGAAAATGAGGAGGTATTTCCTTGTCCCAATGCAGGCTTGTTTTGCTTTGGCGCGCACACACACACACACACACACATTCATTCTTTCTGCAGTGTCTGAATTACATCAGTCTTCAGCTCCCTTGTAAAGCAAATCACAGGGTAGTAGGTATGTGCATACGTGTGTGTGTGCGGGGGGTAGGTCAATCATCCCTCTCTGTCAGAGCCCTAGTTATAGGAACAAGCTGTTGCTGTGATAGCTGACACCCACCATGGTGAGGGTAAGGAGGGGCGCGGGGGGGAGGTAGGTGAGGGACATGGAATGGAGGAAGTGGAAACAAACCAAAACTTAAACTGAAAGAGACGCCGTCCCTTTTTCCGCCATGTTAAAAAAAAGAGAGTGAGTGGGCAGCGATGAAACTCAAATTGCGGTAAATTGCTGCAGGAGAGCAGTTGGTCCTCTCGCGGCACCGAGTGAGTGGAGAATGCCGCAGCCTGCCGAGCCATGCTATCCATCTCTTTCACCTTTGAACTCTCAACCTCTGGCATCTGTGCTCATTACTCCTCAGTTGTCACACACTCACACACATGCTAGCCCACGAAAAAACACACACACACACCTTCATACTCATTTTCACACACATGCACATTTCAAAGGGGGGCCTTTTTTCTGTTTGGGGTTATTGGAGAGGCTTGGTGGTGGGTTGTGGACGATGTTGTGTATCTTCATGTGAACGCAGCTAATTCTCACCAGCAAGTAATGTGGTTCAAAATACAGATTCCAGTGCATTTTTAATGCAAGAAATTTGTATCCCCCCCAGGTCGTCCATCAGAGCATCCCACCTAACTCCAGCCAGTCCATCCACGCTTTCTCCACCACCACCCTCAACGACATCATGAAATCCTTCTCTGATGTCAGCGTCATCAGGGTGGCTGGAGGATACCTGCTCATGGTGAGCATATTATCCGATTTAAATTGAGTTAAATTAAAGATATTTACAATTACACTCTAACCTAATGTGGATGTCTTCTCTCCAGCTTGCCTACGCCTGCGTGACCATGCTAAGGTGGGACTGTGCTAAGTCCCAGGGGGCCGTGGGGCTGGCCGGGGTACTGCTGGTGGCCCTGTCAGTGGCCGCGGGGCTGGGTCTCTGCTCTCTGCTTGGCCTTTCCTTCAATGCAGCCACCACACAGGTACACCAGAACACATCTTCACTTTGTTCTCTCACATTTTTGTCCTTCTTCGCGATTTCAGATTTTGATGCCACACACTACATTCTCACCCTTTTGTTTTTCTTCCTAGGTGCTTCCCTTCCTGGCACTAGGCATCGGTGTAGATGACATGTTTCTGTTGGCTCACTCCTTTACAGAAAGTGGAACTAACATCCCATTCAAGGTAACCCAAAGAGTCTCCTCTCCTCTCCTGTCCTCTCCCTCCTCTCCTGTCCTCTCCTCCCCTCTCACCTTTTTTTTTTTCTTTTCAGGAGCGGACAGGCGACTGTTTACGTCGCACCGGCACCAGCGTGGCTCTGACTTCCATCAACAACATGATTGCGTTCTTCATGGCTGCCCTTGTACCCATCCCTGCTTTGCGAGCTTTCTCCTTGCAGGTATGTTTGGCACACACACCTGCACAGATATAAACAAATTTACACAATCACACATCGAGAGGCCGGGGGCTCCTTTGAAAATGAAAGATAATTTAAGAGAGGTGACATTTATTCAAAGTAAGGAAAGACTTTGTTCCCCAATTTTATTGCTGCTGCAACTACGGGGCCAACTTTTTTGGGTGTGACTCTGTGTGTGTCTGTGTGTGTATATTTGTGTAATGTGGAATAATCAGAGCAAAAAGAGTGATGAAGAGACAGAGGCAGAACAAGAGTGAGAGGGAGAGGGAGGACTGGATCAGTATATCACTGGCCCCTTCAAGGCAGTTTGCTCTGATCTGTGACTAGCTGTGGGTGGTCTGAAAGTACACAAGCACACACAAATACGCACACGTAGACATACACACTGGAAACCACAACCAGTTACGATGTCAGCTTAAGGGGCTGGAGTGAATGGGGAGGTGTTGGTGAAGGGCGATGGTTTTGCTCAGACTTGCAAAATATATATA